TATGAACATTAACAAGAACCGCGTGAGGACGAGACTAAGTGACTTTCACCTGCGTGACATCTCGCGCTTCAAAACCACTGTTTCTGAGCCAGACCTGGCCTATATAATGCAGTCGAGATCTCAGTATCACCCTTCACATTAGTGCACTTAAGTTATTTGTTTAGTCTTTCATAAAATAGTTCATTTGCATTTAATGTTAATGGTTCGAAGAATGTCGGGCTGAATGGTTGGCCCCCACACATTTTCACCGCACCAGATCTGGCCCTCCTTGCAAAAAGTTTGGACACCCCTGATGTAAGCCATCTAGAGATCCTGATTGGATATCGGATAGGATATAATGTTATGAATAAATGAATGAATGAATAAATAAATAAATAAATAAAGTTAAAAATAAAATCAAGTGTTTTCAGTTGGCACTGAGAACAATGCACTGTTCGTGCCTTCCCTGGCCTGCAGGGGCCAAGCGTTCCACAGGAATGGAGATGCCACACTGGAGGCTCTTCTGCTAGGGGACCACAGCTGGACCACAGGTCCATCCAGCACCACCGTGCACATTTCAGCTAATGATCTCAGTGACTGGGTAGGTTTGTAAGGGAGGAGGTGGTATCCATGCCTCTAGTATCTTGATCCCAAGTTGTTTAGGGTTTAGTACTCCTCATACCAGCCCACCAAGGATCCAATGTGGAGTAGCAGCTAAGACTGCTGGACTGGGACTCAGGAGATCTGGTTTGTAGTCCTCCCACTCAGCCAAAGAGCTCCCTGTGACCAGCTGCACATTATCAGCCCAGCCTTCTTCACAGGGTTGGCATTGTGAGGATAAAATGGAGAAGAAGAGAACATGCCAGGTTCTTCCAAGAGGAAGAAGGGCAGAGGATAAATGTAATGTAATATTAAGAATAAATCCTAAGCACAGCCTGGCTACACAGCCAATTCCATTCTCTCAGAGAAGGAGATGCAGGCAGAAAAGACACTGCTCCTGTCCAGAGCAGCCTTAAGGGCAGCCTTACAAAGAGTGCATTGAGGTAGTCCAGCATTAAGGTCACCAGCACTTGAACCACTGTGGCCAAATTAAACCTGTCTAGGAGAAGCCATCACTGGTGAGCCAGTCCAAGCTGGCAAAAGGCACTCAGAACTGCCACACTCAATTTCCTCCCCACAGGAGATATCCTCCCTGAGGATTTTTGCTCTTGTGCCCTAAATAATAACCCTCAACACAATGTCATGTTTTATATGAAATCAGTAATTATCTAAATAATAATAGCAATTCTGATCCCAGTGTTAAATTAGCAAAATATTTTGTTTGTTTGACCAGCGAATGAGAGGTAAAACAAATCTGGAAAAATCTAATAGGAGTCTGGGGGGGGGGGGGCATCCTTGACTTAGTCTTGACCAATAGAGAGGAGCTGATAGATGAAGTACAAATTAGGGGAGCTCTGGATGTGAGCGATCACTCCATCCTTTGCTATGAGATCAGGGGAATGGGGACGTGCAGCAGGTCAAGCACTGGGACTTCAAGGGGGCCAACTTTGGCCAACTGAAGGCCAGACTGGGGAAAGTCTCCTGGGATAGGTTACTGGAAGGTAAGCGAGTTGAGGAGGGGTGGATGGCACTCAAAAGGGAGGTTTTGGAGGCGCAAGCCTTGACGATACCTGTAGTTAGTTAAGGTGGGGAGGCGGAAGAGAGCGCCACCATGGATGCAAAAGGAGGTGGTTAGAGGGATTAGACAAAAGAGGAACCTCCGTAGGAAATGGGTACTGGGGCAATTAGACAAAAGGGTATACTGGAAGGAGAAGGCCCGTTGCAGAAGGATTCTTCACAAGGCTAAGGCTGATTACGAGCTGAGACTTGCCAAGAATATCAAGAGCAACAAAAAGGGCTTCTTTCAGCATGTAAATAGGAAGAGGAAGGGCAGACAAGTAGTGAGACCACTAAATAAGGAGGAAGGAGATCCAGTGACTAATACAAGGGAACAGGCACAGTAGCTAATTGACTATTTTGCCTCTGTTTTCTCCCCAAAGGAGGATGGGGGAGATCCACATAGGAGATTAGATGAGGCCGGGGATTTAGGGGCAAAGATTAGGGTCACCCCCCTAGAAGTCAAGGGGCTCCTCAGGGCATTGGACATTACAAAGGCACCAGGCCCTGACGGGTTACACCCAAGAGTACTTGGAGAGTTGGCAGGGGTTCTCTCACGTCTGCTGGCCTCCATTTTTGAGGCCTCGTGGAGAACGGGTGAAGTTCCAGAGGACTGGAGGGTGGCATCAGTGGTCCCCATTTTCAAAAAGGGTAGTAGAAGGGACATGGGGAATTACAGACCAGTTAGCCTTACGTCCATTGTAGGAAAAACAATGGAAAGGCTCATAATAGAGAGAGATCTAGTGATGCTAGATAGGGAAGGGAGGCTGGCAGCCACACAACATGGCTTCCGCAAAAACAGGCCCTGCCAGACAAACCTTATGGAATTCTACGACAAGGTTTCGAGATGGCTGGATGGAGGGGATGCAGTGGGTGTGGTTTACCTGGATTTCAGCAAGGCCTTTGACAAAGTGCCCCATGATATCCTGCTAGATAAACTGAGGAGTTTTGGGATACACCAAAGCACTGTCCGATGGATTAGGGCATGGTTGACTGACCGAAAGCAGAGGGTAACCATTAGTGGGGAATCATCGGGATGGCGGCCAGTGACAAGCAGAGTCCCCCAGGGCTCTGTCCTGGGGCTGATCCTGTTTAATCTTTTTATAAATGACATGGAAGAAGGGGTGAACAGTCTGCTGATCAAATTCTCAGACGATACTAAAACTGGAGCAGTGGCCACAACTGAGGAGCAGCTACTCCAGATCCAAGAAGAGGAGACTCAGAGGGGATATGCTGGCGACATACAGGTATGTGAGGGGATGTCACACGGAGATGGGTAGAGACCTGTTCTCCCCTGCAGAGGAAGGCAGGACGCGCTCCAACGGAGCAAAGTTCAGGGAGGCAAGGTTCCATTTGGATGCCAGGAAGCACTTCCTGACAGTTAGGACCCCAAGGGTGTGGAATGGGCTTCCATGGGAGGTGGCTGAGGCCCCATCAGTGAGGGTGTTCAAAGATAGGCTGGACATGCACATGGTGGGCATGTCATGAGCAGAGCTGGCTAGAGCCGGGGGTCAGACTAGATGGCCCAGGAGACCCCTTCTGACCCGCTCTGTTTCTATGTTTCTATGTTCCATAAATAAGTTTATATATAATTACAATTTAAAATGTTGCTTTCCCCAGTCCTATAAAAGGGTTTTTTCCCCTTCCCTTTCGGACAATTTCCAAAGGGAGAGCACTGTTGTGCTGTCGTAACAAGCCACCTTGTAGTAGTTTACAGTGCAGTCTAATACAGGTCTACTCTGAGAGTAGTCCAATTCATTTATTCCCAGATAAGTAAGTACAGAATTGCACCCCGTACAATCATGTGCATGTTCACCCTGAGGTCTCAACATGTTCAGTGGGGCTCACTCCCAGGTAAGTGTGCCAGGATCACTGCCTTAAAGACTAACAGATCAAATACCATGTGGCAGCTCACTGCACTTTCCACGGATGATCAGTTTTATCAGCCACATGGTTGGCACTCTTTGCCACAGCAGCTAAGGCATTGTGTTTGCCTTTCCCTATCGCATTCTTTTGTTGAGTAAACTAGATGAACATTTACAAGGATTATCTCTGATGCCAATCTTTTAAAGTTATGGTATTTTAATCTTGATGTTAACAGCAGTCAGTTTTATGGACGTTACACGTTCCAAGGCTCGACAGTCAATTATGTAATGAAAGGACTGAGAGTTTGCAAGGGCCTTTGACTATGTGCAATGTTCCTGTTCCAAGGACACATTTACTGTGGCATTCCTGCTTGGAGACATCAGATGCAGCAGATGAAGCGGACTTAGGCTGACAAAACCTTATGCAATGCTGCATTTGTTCATCTCTCCAGTGCCACCAGATGCTAAGTTCTTACTTCGTATCTGGTCAACTATCTCAGGGCAGTTTTCTTTCACATATTATTAGTGATGTGAAAAACCTGACCTTTTACTTTCAGAGGCACTGCACATTAGGAGAGTTATTTGAAAAAGCATCTGTGGTTGATTCCTTTTGCAGTGTGATTCTATTTTTGAGCATCCCATGATGGTTAATGGTCGGCATATCGTGTTACCTTTCAAATGCACAGGAGGTGTTCTCTGCCCCATGGGTGATGAACTTCATGCCCAAAGGACTCATCTAGCCCTCCTGAAGTTCCAGTCCAGATGGCCATGCACCCTTCTCCTTTCTCCTCAGCACCCATTGTTCGGTGATCTCTAAGCCTTTCTACAGTTTTTCCCCATTCTAAAAGGCTGAATGCTCTTCTAAGGTTTACCCACTAGCAATATGAGTTTTAAGCTAAAACATGCTGGCATTTGCAGTATTTTGCCCTTGCTCAGTTTGCCTTTAGTCCAGCTTCTTTTTCCTTCCAGTCCCATCCAGCACTGGAGTGCAACCCCCAAAACTTACTCCAGAATGGAGTGTGGCCCTCCGGTGAAAGAGGTTCTGCATCCCTGCTCTAAAAGTAACACACCCTTCGCTCATGTTAGCACATCTCATCCTTAGTATTTCACCTGCCGCTGATTCAACTTGGTCATTCGTGGCATCGCTATTATTTCTTGAGGTTAGAATTGAACTGCAAATGCTTCTCAAGATTTCATTTGTGTTTAGCTGTGTGCTCTTTTAAGAAAGCCAAAAGATTTTTGTCTAACAACCAGATACCAGATTGGAGAAAGCCGAAGATGATTATGGAGCAGTCAGAAAGCAGTGCTAATGAGACACAAAGGGGGCAATGAGGGAGGGGGATTCTGCTCTTACTGCGTTTGCTTTTGTCTTTATTCAAGAGCAGCCGCAGCTCCTGTTCTTGCTTCCCAGGTGTGGAATCTTGGGGTGGTGGCTCCATCGGCACCTGGATATGGAGAGAAAAAGAGAGTGAAAAAAAGAACAAGGCAAAATCAATTAACTGACTTCTTCAACCACATAAGAAGCTTATATGGCATGACCCCAGGGCTCGCAGAGTTGAGACCTACAGGATCTTCTTGGTTTGTTTGTTTGTTTGTTTGTTTTAGTAGAACCCTGAGATCCACCATCGGGGGCCAAATGCAAAAGACATACACCCAGAAGTCAAGAATCCTGAGCCCAAGAACTGGTTTGGTGTTGGTGTACCAGAAGTAAGCAAAGCTCACAATCTCCTTGCACAAAGCTCCACTCTTAGCCATCACAAGCTTTCTTCATGTCTGCAGTATAATTCAAGTTGGGTTTAATTTTGCTGCGCCTATGGTTCAACAAAGTGGGAGCTGGAAATCCTTGCCAATCTACTGCAAGTCACTCCAGAGATCCACCTTCTGCCCAGCCCTGGTGTGATGTGCCTGAAGCTTACTTCCACAGGTTCAGGTGCTCCAGTTCCCAGGAGAAGGGGATCAATAGTGCAGCCCTAGAGAATGCTCCAGAAACAACAGAACCCTCAGCTGCGACAACAGTCACTTTCATCTGCAGCGACTCAAAAATCCCAAGACTGCAGAAGAAGCTCAAAATGTCCAGACTTCTGCCCTCAACCATATGTGTTCACTTTCAGGGGCAATATCCCATACAGGCCCAATGGATATGAAGCTGCCATGTATTGGCTTAGATTACCTGTCCATCTAGCCTCAGCTGGTGACATCTCTGCATGGAGATACCTAGTACCGATGCTGGGACCGTCTGCATAGAATTAGGTTATCACTATGCTCTAGAGCCATCCTACCTTCAGATTTCTGTTTCTCAGCCCACCATTCACTGTCTCCCAGTTCCTTCAGCCACTCTATTATGGCTGCTCTTTTCCAGTTCCTCTACTGCATTAGGCCTTTCGGCTCAGCTGCCACCACTGCCTTTGCACTATCTGTCACAGGAAATATGAGAAGCTGCTTTATACCAAGTCAGGCTCTTGGTCCATCTAGCCCAGTATTGTCAACACAGACTGGCAGCCATGGCTTGGCAGCATTTTAGGCAGGGTTCATTCCCAGCCCTACCAGGAAATGCTGGGGGTTGAACCTGAACTGCAGTCCTGAAGATTTGCCCTGTCTGCAGATTTCCCCACCTGCATCTCCTCTGCCTCAGTGTGATGTTTGCCAATATTATATTGCCAACACCTTCCCCATCAGCTGTAAAGAATGTCTAGGAACACCCCACATTAACACAGCAAGTCAGCTGTGTGTGGGAGCTCACAGACAGCCAAGCAATGCCAGGCAGTGTGCAGTTACAGAGAGCCAGCTGCACAACATTCACTTTGCGTTCATTTGGTTGAGTATGTTGTTGGGGCATCAAGTGGCAGTTAGCAGCAGAGCAGCTAAGTGGCTTCCCTTGGAGAGCTCTTCAGTCAGACTAAAGATAAGCAGCAGCTTCCTGGAGCCTCTACAAAGTCCCCTTTCACTCTTCCATGCACTGGTTGGTGACACGGGAGGCCGTGGCGCTCTCCCATGGATGCCTGAGCTGATCCATCTTCTGGCAAGGAGTGGTGCTAGCATGGGAAGGATCCATGGCATGGGCTCTTTCTCATATACAATTTATGTCTTCAAGCCTGTTGGCAGGACTTGCTGTGGATTACATCTCCCATCATCCTTGGCTATACCCCTGAGCCTAATGGGAGTTGCATTCCAAACCATCTGGAGGGTGCCAGATTGGGAAATGGTTAGCGATATCTTACTGGCCTCCACCCTTTTGAAGTCATCTGATTGGGCTCCAGGAGAAAGTGGAAGGTCATTCGCTTCTCCTGGTCACCTGCCAGGGCTAGAAGGTTCCTGCCCAGAGGTTCCTATCCCCTAACACAGGGGTGGGGAACAAATGGCCCTTGGACTGCAACTCCCATCATGCCTCTCCAGCAGCCAGGGCTGATGGGAGTTGCAGCTCAGTAACATCTGGAGGGCTATATATTTGCTGCCCTGCACTAGCAAGCAGGCCCTACAGTTGCTTTTGCACATACACATCCTGCCTCTTAGTCAGCTATCCTAATGGCACAGTGAGTAAAAAAGAGACTCTGTGCACATCCAACAGGAGTCCAGGCTCAAACTCCCCAGCATTCTAGCAGTACCATGACAAAAAGAGAAGTGAGTCAAAAGCCCCTTCACTTACCACAAGTAATCAATGCCAGGGGAAACCAGAGGTTCAAGTGAGTTTAGATAACCTGGTGCCCTCTACATGCTTTGGAATACAACCCCCATCATTCCCAGCCAGCAAGGCTTAAGGTCACGGTTTATGGGAGCTATAGATCAAAATTTCTGGAGGACTTTGGCTTGGTCGGCCCTCATTTATGGGTTGTGATTCTATAAGCTACTGACTGAGTTTGCGGCTCGTGAGTTCCTCTTGGATGTTTCCGTATCTGCCTGTTCCAGTGTCAAAGAACCAGGAAAGAAGAGGGGGGCAAAGCTGGCCTGAAACCAGCTGCTCCTTGGAGAGCAGGTGGCACCCACTTCCCCAGCCCAAGCCCCCAAGAAAGGGTATCACACTTACCCGCAGGTGCGGGTAGGTGAGCTGCTCCACTTGCTGCTGGTGCAAGCTGGCCAGGAAGAGCTGGTGTTGCAGCTGCTGCGTCTGCTTCAGGGCCAGCAAGGCTGTGTCGGGCCCAGATTTGGCTAGGCGCTGTCCAATCCGCAGGTCCATGGGAATGGTCTGGGGGACCCGCAAGGAGACACAGAGCTTCAGGGCAGCTGTTGAGACACAAGGTGTTGGTGCTCAGTGGCTGTCCATCCTGGCCACTTCCACAATCCCCCAGCCCAACATAGATCCTTTGAGACTGGGTTGAACATCCCACTTCCAGCTTTCTTTTCCTGCCCTTCCCACTAAGCCGAGGTACTGAAGCTCAAATCTGGCCCACTGGGGGTCCCAGTGCTCCCCAGGTGGCCCCACCTGCTTCCTTCCCCCAGCCACCAACTGTTTGAGGGCTACCCCACTTTTATGCAGTCTTTTCTCCATTCTAAATGGCCAAAGTACCTCTCTTAAGGGTTAGTTGCTGACAGTAAGAGACTCATACTAAAATATCCCCAAAGTTTTGGCATCTTGGCCCCACCCAACTTTCCCTTCAGCTCCATCTGCCACTGAAATGCAGCCCCAATAAGAACTCAGATTTTGTCCTGCCCCACATTTTTGGAGGCAGTTATCAGCTCAAAAAATATAGCCATATGGCCCAATTTGTGGCTTGTTGTTGTTGTTTTGGGGGGTTGACTATAGGAACACTGCCATTATGATGAAAGTTACTATATTATCAGCATTGACAAATGCAGTGTATTTTGTACATTCTGGAATGAAACATTCCGGAAAAATTCCCCTGTATTTGTTATTTTCAGTAGCCTGAATTCATCCATTATAATTTATGTATTCTACATAAGCAGTTAGGGAAAAAACCTTACAAACCCAGGCACACCTTATGGGAAGCAGAATAAATTATGCAAATCTGTGTAATTTTCCACAAACCATATTCCATCAGCAGGCTTCCTCAATACTCATTCCCAGATTTGCCTTGCTAACCATTTTATCTCAGAAACATTTGCACCTCATCTTCCCAGCACAAGATCTTTGAAGTGGCTTACAATCCAAAAAGAAACAAATGTCAAATTCAAGCTATAAAAATTTAACCTATCAATCCAACATATGTGCACTTGATTACAGTAACAGAACCACCAGCAGCAGAGTGCAAGCTGTTCATACTGAAGAGCTTCCCCTATGATTCACCAAAAGCTTTAAGGAAACATAAGCTGTCTAATACTGAATCAGACCCTGCCTGGGTCCAACCTGCCCAGTATTACCAACACTGACTGGCAGGAGCTCTTGCAGGGTGTCAGGCAAGCATATTTGCAGCCCTGCAGGGAGAAGCCAAGGATCGAACCGCGACTATGGCTGCCTCCCAGAGGTTTCGCTTGGTGCTTAACACACAGCCACACAAGCCCTTTTGAGAAGGCTATTTATTCTATGTGCTAGAGAAGGCTTTTTCCCCACTGACACCTGGGGCAGGGCCTTAGAGAACCACCCCAATCAATGGACAGGTCTGTATATGTTGCAGGAGAGAGGAGAGGAGCAGTGGTAGGGTAAGACATGTGTCCTCTGAGATACATGCTGGGGGGGCAAACAACTGAGTGCCAGAAACTGCAGACACTGCTCTGTATGTCTCACAAACAGAATTCCCTGGCAGTCTGGATGTGCTACCTGAAAGGTGACTGAGACATCTTTTAGATCAGTGAATCATTCCAGCATTCCAGCAAAGCAGTCAGTCAATCCATCTAGAACTAGAGACACTGGGCTGGATCTAGACTGACTCAGAGCAGACCCACTGAAATAAATAGGAATAAGTTTGCCATGGCTACAGCCCCATCAATTTAAATGGGTCTGCTTCAGGTATGATTATACAGGAATCCAGCCCATTTGTTCGCGATCTCTCTTCCACCGGCTGCCAGTAATCCAAAGATACAAAAGAATCTGCAAACGTGTTCCCATGTAAGATTCAGCAGAAGCACAACTCCAAGAGCAAACAGGTCTGGTGGCCCCAAGCAAACTAGTCATGCACAAGCCCCACTGAAACCAAGGAGCCACAAAGACAACTAATAGATCCCACTGGTTTCAATGGAGCTTAAGTGCGACTAAACCTTTGTGGGGAGGGACTGTGACCTTTGCTTTTATTACAGGTTGAGTGTATTCAGTGCGTGCTTGACTGTTTCCCAGAGCACAGTATCCAAAACCTGATGCAGAAGAGAACACCTGGAGAATCTCACCTTTCATTCAGAAACAGAAAAAAAATTCCCAACCCTTATGGATATGGAGATAAGCAGGTAACATTGTACACCTTGCTTGATGCAATTTTCAAATTCAGCAATCAGCTGAGCAATTCCTAGCTCTTGTGTACCACGGGGCATTTCTCAGGGCAGAATTGGGGTCATGTTGGCACAGGCTTTGGATCGTGGGTGGCAGCAAATTGACACAGAGTAATACTTAGCCCTGGTTAAACTGTGCTTCCTTACATAAACTTCAAACTAGCTATCAACTAGAACCGTAAGTAAACCGGATTCAGATTCCATCCTGAGAAGCAAAACCACTAATCGCATCCTCTCCCTCCAGACACTTTCTAACAAGCCCACCAAAACCGCCCTGACAGCCAGCGAATTACTTGCTTTGCTAGCATCTGATATGATTGGACAATTTCTGTGCTAAAAACTGGTCCTTGGGAGAACAGCCAAAATGCAAACACACGCACCATCCCCAGCCAGATCAAAAATAAAGCGGCACCACCGCAACAGGAAAAACAGAGCAGCCTCAGCCCTGCCCAAGGAACAAGGCCATCTTGAGGCTGCTGCCTTAGTTGAAACATTCCGGCTTGCCTCCATGCATCAGGCCAACAGTAAAAATAGGTTCAGAATGGGAAAAGAAAAGTTAAGAGAGGAAAAGGTCAGCCACTCCTCAATCACCCAAAAAGTGGAAATGAGGGGACACCAATCTGCATGGGTATGTACATAGGCAGATGTAAATCTAGGAATAATGACTATAACTGGAGTAGAAATACAGGGCATCCTAGTAGTGTTACATCCAGTATTAATCCTACTTAGAGTTGGACTCAGTGAAATGCCAAAATCCCTTTCATTTCACTTGCTTTTCTGTATGAAAGACTAACACTGGAGAGAACCCATACTGAGGAAGACTACAAGTGCCACCCCGCTGAGTCTGCTGTCCAGGTGTCAAGGGTGGCTAATTCAAGGTCTAACTCTTCCTTCAGAAGGATCTTCATTTTAATAGTAGACTTGGGACTGGGACTTGGGACTTTAAAAAGAAGACTGTAAAAGAGGATACCTGGCCACCCTATGAATGAAGGCCTTAATAGAATCAGTGGATGCTCCCTTCCGAAGAACATAAGATGGTATTATCTTCTATTGGCGACTATCACGTATGCTTAGGGCCATGAGAAAGAAACATGCTGAGAAGGAAATGTCATGAAATTATCGAATTATGATAGCTCCTGTGAAACCACTGCACCCTGGGTACAGGAGGAACCTCACTGTACCTCTGCATGAGTTGTTCCTCTCAGCAGGCCTCTTTCAAGCAAGAGGAATGCTCAGACTAGTGGCTCACAGGGACTGCCCCTGCCATGTTGCTGCCTGAACTGAAGCATTTAAAGTTGCTGTCCCAGCCCTCCCACCAAAGTCAAAACACATAGCGCTCAAAGCAGGCCAAGGCTTTTCTTTTTCTTTCTGTCTGTCTGTCTTTCTTTCTTTCTTTCTTTCTTTCTTTCTTTCTGTCTTTCTTTCTTTCTGTCTTTCTTTCTTTCTTTCTTTCTTTCTTTCTTTCTTTCTTTCTTTCTTTCTTTCTTTCTTTCTTTCTTTTTGCGGGGGGGGGGGTGTCAGACAATGATGTTCATAACTTCCTCTTCCCCATACTTGGCAGTAAGCATATTTTTCATTCATTCATTCATTCATTCATTCATTGCATTTGTATGCCGTCCTTCACTATCACATCTCAGAATAATTTTATTCTGCAAATTTTATTTATTAAATGTATATCCCTCAACTTTTCCCCTTTCAAGGAACTCAAGATAGCTTATATATTCCTCCTCCTCCTCATAACAACAACAACAACAACTTCTGAATTAGGTTGGGGTGGACACAGTCACCCAGTTGGCTTCATGGCATGGCAGGACCAGAACTCCTGGGTTCCATTCCACACTCTTAACCACTACACCACACCGGCTCTACACTATACCACACTACACCACACAATGAACACAGTCAATGACTAACCATTTGCTCCTGATTCCTCACACCTGATATCTGTTGCCTGAAGCAGACTCCCCACTTGTGACTCAAGCAGCAGTCTGGGACAAAATTGGGCTGACGAGAGTGAGTTCTGCTTCCATGGTGCAACAGCTGCCTGTAGAACCAGCCAGTGGTCTTCCCCAAACACACGCAAGCACACGGATGGATGATCCACAGCTCAGTGCTGGGCCATATGCTCTACATGCAGAAGGTTCCCAGCACATCTAGCACATCTCCAAGCAGGACAAACCCTGGAGAGCTGCTGCGGATCAATGTGGACAACACTGAGTTAGATGCTACAAGGCAGCTGCATTCATCATAAGGGCATTTAGCCAGTTCAGATACAAAAGAGGTTTTGCTTGTTTTCATTTGGTTTGCAGCTCTCTGTGGTTGAATGCACACAGAGCTACTCTGTGAACCAAATATGCTCATGGACAGTCCTTTTGCTTTAAAAGAGATGCGGGGGGGCAGGGTGCAGAAGATTGGCCTCCACTGGGCTCTGGGAGTCATGGCCCGTGTTCCACAGCAGCCTGTGTGAAACCTCACTCATTTTATGGAGAGGAACATTAGCTCATATTTATAAATAAAATTTGGAAAACTCAACAGTGGACACAGGATTGGAAAAGGTCAGTTTACATTCTGATCCCAAAGAAGGGCAATGCCTAAGAATGTTCAAACTACCGCATCATTGCACTCATTTCACATGCTAGCAAAGTGATGCTCAAAATCCGACAAGCTAGGCTCCAGCAGTATGTGGACCGAGAATTACCAGAAGTACAGGCAGGATTTCGAAGAGGGAGAGGAACTAGAGATCAAATTGCCAACATACGCTGGATCATGGAGAAAGCTAGGGAGTTCCAGAAAAGCATCTACTTCTGCTTCATTGACTATGCCAAAGCCTTTGATTGTGTGGATCA